AGACAAAATGATTAATTTTTTATTTAAAAATAATATAATTTAAAAAAAAATAAAAATGAAGCTGTAACTACATTATTATAATTAATTTTAGGTTTAAGTACCACTTTGGTCCCTCAACTTTTCACTTTGGTACCAAAATTGTCCTTCAGCTTTAAAAAGCACCAAAATTATCCTCAAACTTTCATTTTCAGTACTAAAATGGTCTTTCTGTCAGTTAAATGATAGGTGGCTCGTTAAAATGCCACAAAATCATTAGACTTTTTGAATCTTAATGACATATAAATCCAACTATGAAAATTTTGTTACCATGGCATGTTTTTTTTGTACACGTGGCATATTTTTTTACACATCATATTATCACCTTTTAAACTTTCCCTTTTAATGGGGCCCACATGACTTTTTTTAACTTTTCTTATTCTTTCTCTTTCTCCTCTCTTCCCTTCTTCTTCATCCTCTCAAACCCAGATTTGGGTTCTTTCAACCCAATAAGGACAATCGATGGCATGTCCACTTCGGCCTTGGGCTTCCAAGTTTTGCTGCTTCAGCGGCCGAGTTCTCTGACTGCTCAAGCCTGATGGAGCTAGCCTACTCCCTGCTCCGATGACCCCATGAGGTCTGTCAGCAACTAGGCCCTTCAGGTGCCTTTTTTGGGTTTTTGTTTTCTGTTTGTTTTCTTTGTTTCCTGTTTCTGTGTGTTGCCCACTTGCCTGCATGTCTCGCGGCTCCTTGCTCCCTCACGCAAATCTACCAAGCTAGCTAGATTGGTGGCGGAACATGAAGAGGGAGATAGCTAGATTTGTCTTACAATGCCTGACTTGCCAAAAAGTCAAGGCTGAACACCAGAGACTTCCTGGGAAACTACAGCCGTTACCTATTCCTCAGTGGAAGTGGGAAAACATCACCATGGACTTTGTGACTGGCTTACCACGAACCTTAAAGGGTAATGATTCCATTTGGGTCATCGTTGATCGATTGACTAAATCAGCTCACTTCTTACCTTACCAGACTGGCACCTCTATTGAAAAGCTTGCAGCAAGCACTTGGTACTCAATTGAATTTCAGCACGGCTTTTCATCCTCAAACTGATGGGCAATCTGAGAGAACTATTCAGATACTTGAGGACATGTTGAGGGCTTGTGTGCTAGATTGGAAGGGTTGGTGGGATCAACACTTATCCATGGCTAAGTTCGCATATAATAACAGTTATCAATCCAGCATCCGCATGGCACCGTTTGAGGCTTTGTATGTGTTGTACCTATGATTTTGATGATTACAAAACACTTTTGAATGACTAATTGGTTTATTTAAGTGTGTAGTTAAGTTGCTAAAAGATTGCAAGTAAACTTGGATTGCACTAAAAATAGACCAAAAGGATTCAAAATGTGCAGAGAGCCGGCTCTAAAAAGCTGCAGCCGGCTCTGGTGAAATGGAACTGCAGAGAGCCAGCTCTCGAACCTGTAGCCGGCTCTACAGGCAAAAATTTGAAGACCGTTGCTTGGTGCGCGCGGAGAAAAGACGCAAAGTCGGCTCCAACTTTATAGCCGGCTGTGAGGGTGCATTTAATGCACAACGGTCGACTCTTTTGAATGTATTTAAAATGGGAATTCCAAAGCTGGCTCAAAGGCTTGCAGCCGACTCTCGAGGAAATCAGAATGGCCTGCAAAACCGGATAGCCAGCTCTGGAAGTGTACAAAGCCGGCTCTAGAAAGTTAAGCCGGCTCTCCTGAAAATCCTACAGCTCGAGCTTTGTGTCTTGCAAAGCATTTAATGACCCCCAACGGCTAGTAATGACTATTTTCAACCATGGGGTTATAAATATGAGTGGTAGAAGATCTGAAGATGTTTAGAGAAGATTATATTGCATATCTTTACCTACCTACTTGAGCTTAAACTTGAGTTTTTGATCTTTGAGTGATCATTGCTTGTAATCCTCTTCTTGTGTTATTAGTGAGTGATCTTGGGGGTGTGTTGATTCCTTCAAGAGTGATCTATTGAGAGGATTTGTGGGGTTTACACTGTAAAGGGGTGAGGTTTGAGAGAAATACTCATCTTGTTGTAAAAGGATTGAGTGGCTCCTTTAAGCCACCCTTGT